TAAATAGCATCATTTTTATAATTGAAGTACTTATTTGTACCTAACAATCATACACTGGCCTATAGAGCTGGGGTTGGAGGGCAAGCTGAAAATATTCTCACAGCTCCCAACATTCCTCTTTCATTTTCAGGGAACTCCTCCTTTTTTTTTTAAATCCTCACCTGATATTTTTCCATTGATTTTTAGAGAGAGGGAAAGACAGAAATATTGATGTGAGAGAAACACATCAATTGGTTGCCTCCTACACGCACCTTGACCAGGGCCTGGGCCAGAGAGGAGCCTGCAACTGAGGTACGTGCCCTTGACCAGAATCGAACACGGGACCCTTCGGTCCGCAGGCCAACATTCTATCCACTGAGCCAAAACTGTGGCTCTTTCCTCCTGGTCATCCCAAGAACTTGAGATAAGTCTTCAAGTCCCTGACGTGGTCTCCAGGGCATGGTCATCTTCTCCATCCTAACTTCAGCTATCATGTATTAGTGGCCATGCTGACAGTCCACACCATGGCCCTAGAGTGAGTGGCTCTCAGATTCCCCTTTTCTCTGGCTATAGTGTCAACTAGTCAGAACTGTTTCACCTCTAAAATCCTTCTATCCATTATACACAAATGTTACACTCATTTTATCCTTAATCTCGACCCCTTCCCATTCATCCAATTAATCAGTGCCTTAATGATCTGACTCCTCTTACAACCCAGCCCATATCCCAAAGCCACTCTCTGACAATCTCGAATGACCTGCCCTTTAGACGCCCCTATCTTACAAAGATGGATCCTGGCACAATCTGTTTTTTCCCATCCTTCATTCCTGGCAGCTCAGCACTGCTGGAGCAAAAGGAAAAGTTGGCCTCCAGCCACTGCAACTAATGGTTTCTTATCTCAAACTAGTTTTCAAAGGCATTCCTCAATCTTTTTTCTTGGTTTTGGTCAGTTTTCTCACTCAGTCTTCCTGGTGGTTAATACTAATAAAAATATAAGACATGATCTATGATATTATGAGAAGAAATAAAAAGGCTAAATATGGTAAATGTAATTTAGCTCTAATGCTATATATCCTTCAGGTTCTAAGTCAATTACTTTCATGACACTCAAACTATTACTGCTGTCTTAATTCCTAGAGCTTTTTAGAATTTGAAAAATAAGGTAAAAGATGGACCACTGGGAATAATGGCTGCTTTCAAATCTCTTTATGTCCAAGGTACCTTTTATAGTTATACTTTATCAATGAAACATACACAACTTTTGTGTTCATTTTAATTTATTCTGTGTAATTTAAAGTAACAGTTAAAACATCATATAAACAAACCACAGAGGCTTTAGGTATAGTATTGACCAGTTTTAAAACAAAAACAGTGAATGATCATTCCTCATCTCTAATTTTACATATTATTATACAAAGAACTATTAACACAATTTCAATTCCTTATAAACCTATTTGTCAAGCAGCAAGATGACAATGCGTCATAGCACAGCACAGAATGTCTCCTTTAAGAAACCACAGGAGCAGTATTTGGTGAGTGGTTATGCATAGAACTGACTTGGAGGGTAATATTCAACATTGGCCATAAAACAGGAAGCACATGTATATTAACACATGGAAAATGTAACTTTTATTAAGAAAAAATGTTACTCTTTATGCTGTAAGTTAAAAGCTGTAAGATACTTTAGAAGCAGACAATACAAGGTGCTTTCATTCTAGACTCCATAACAAAATACTATTCCATTAGCTGCTTGAGTCTATAATATTTTAGTACTGTTCATTGGCTTTTTTAAAAAATATATTTTTATTGATTTCAGAGAGAAAGGAAGAGGGAGAGATAGAAACATCAACGATGAGAATCATTGATCGGCTGTCTCCTGCGCGCCCCACACTGAGGATCGAGCCCATAACCCAGGCATGTGCCCTGACCAGGAATGGAACCATGACCTTCTGGTTTATAGGTCAATGCTCAACCACTAAGCCACACCAACCAGGCTTCATTGGCTTTTTTTTTTTTTTTTTTTAAATATATTTTATTGATTTTTTACAGAGAGGAAGGGAGAGAGATAGAGAGTTAGAAACATCGATGAGAGAGAAACATCGATCAGCTGCCTCCTGCACATCTCCTACTGGGGATGTGCCCACAACCCAGGTACATGCCCTTGACCGGAATCGAACCTGGGACCCTTGAGTCCGCAGGCCGACGCTCAACCACTAAGCCACACCAACCAGGCTTCATTGGCTTTTTAAGTGAACTTCAAATATAAAAGTTTACAGTGAAAATCTAAAGTTACATTGGTTACATGATGTTACATTAAAACATAACTTCAGAAAAACTGACTTCAAAAAATACTGTATCACTGACTTAAAATAATTTTTAAATGTTACTTTTAAAAGTAAAAATGCACTACTTTCAAATCATTTAACCTGTTTTGCTTTAAAATGCCATATTTGTGAAAACATTATTTAATATATTCTCAACTTTCAACAAAGTAACAGTTTGAAGCTGTTTTAAAACCCAGTAATATCTAAAGAAATGGGTCAGCACACCTGTTAATTGGCTATCCTCCAAATTACATATTTATGTTTCCACCATGAAAACAACACTATAAAATCCACTGAATGAATTCTATTTTTAACTGGACATAAATATTAAAAACCTCACTTAATAGTGCTACACAAATATTTAGTGTTTTTTGGCATTTAAGTCAGAGTAATGCTACCAATATATTTGATACCTGAAATTTTCACAAGAGTTTCAGAGGCAGAGAGACTTGGCAATGGTTAGTTGGGAAGGTAATGAAAACAACTGACCAGTCCTCAATTTTAGAATTACTCCTCAAAAGATGATATACCTGATCAACAACATTGTTAATGAGTATTTAGACACGATAACACTTGACCACATTTTTAATGCTCAGAACTTCTGAACTTTAAAATTAACCACAGGCTAGTCTATCTTCTACTGAGAAACTGAAAATGCCCTTCCGCTAAGTTCAGCTACAAAAGCTCTAAAACGGGTAAAAAAACAAACACTATATCACACAAATAATTCTGCTAACAACTATTTCTCTTTCCTCTTTCAGTGGCCTTAGAAATATGTACTATAGTGAGAATATTGGGGGCAGAGGAGTACAGAGGAGAAAAAAGGTTTTAAACAAAGGAATTAGTTTGTAGGATTTTCATATTGGCATCAGTGATTTTACTATCTTGAGAGTTAAAACATGGTAGGGTGTGAGCTGTTAGTATGCTTTTGACTATATTTCCCCAAAAATTAAAGCAGAACATTTCTTACAATTATTTTTAAAAAGACATTTTTGAAGCATAAATATTAATAATACCAACATATATATCTTTACATGGATTAAATTGTTTAATTTGTGGATGACACTTGGTTTTGGGGATTACGTCAGCCATTAGTTTTTAATACTGATACAGTATGGAAGCTTGGCCAGCTACTTAAAAGTTGTCAGCAATTATTCTTTAAACCTAAGATATCTATATATATAAAAGCCTAAGCGACCAGACAACCGGACAACTGGCTGGCAGCTATGATGCGCACTGACCACCAGAGGGCAGACACTCAACGCAGGAGCTGCCCTCTGGTGGTCAGTGCGCACCCACAATGGGAGCACCGCTAGCTGATAAACGGGCGCCAGCCGCTGGGCTCACAGCTGGTGAGTGCAGCTGTGGTGGCGTGAGCCTCTCCTGTGGACACTCCCCCTGCATGCCCAAGTGTGGCCACAGTGGTGGGCTCAGCAGGGCTGGGATGAGCCGGAGCGGCGCAGCGCCCAGCCCGGGCTCAGGCTCCTCCCCTGCCGCCTGCTGCTTCTCACACTACTTCATGCTGTGCCGGATCGATACAGACAGCAAGCTGGAGCCTGACGAGCTGGCAGGTGAGGCAGGGCTGCGGCGGCGCAGAAGTCCACTGATCCCCGCAGGCCAGGCCGAGGGACCCCACCAGTGCACGAATCCATGCACCGAGGCTCTAGTCCACTATAAAGCAGAATCCACAGTTCAAAATACTAGGCTACGAAAGATCTAATTGAATCCTCCCAGTACCAAGAAGATTTTTAGGCTTTTTTTTTCCCCTAACTGATTATCATTTTAATGCAATATTTAGCTAGTAGGAAGCACTAAAATTAATGCATGAAACTTGTGTCATTGTTTTTAATCCCTACAGTCACATAAAAATAGAAAACGGCATCCGATAAGGAAATGAAAATAGAAAGATTATGCCCCACTCTCAGCTGCTAGGGATCTTTCCCTTTCCATATATACAAAAGGCTACAATGACAACAGAAGTGTGCACCAGGAATATCACTTGGGTCAGAGCAAGTGAACTGTTAATTAACAAAACTGTCAGCATGAAGTACGAGGTACCAAACATAATTACACACCATCATAAAATAGTGGTGACTAGTTCTTTAGAAATGAAGGTTAAACATATAAAAATAACTTGAATTAGTAAAATAAGTTGGCTTTACAATTCACTCTTGTACAAAGCAGGTAACAGTAAACAGAAATGTTCTTTAATCCGTATCTCTTCCCCAGTAAACCCTCAGTCCAAAGTTCAATGAGGACAAACATGCAGACCTGGCAAGTCAGTTTACAGTGAAGCAGGCATTTCCACCCACTCTCCACTTTCCCTCAATCCTGTCTCTGGGATATTGCCACTCAATTGCTATTTGTGAAGAAGTGTTTTCTCCACGACACATGCCTTGAGCATGAAGTCCTTCCATACAAAGGGAGTGACTAATCCTACCTCCCTAAAGTAGAAGACAGTTCTCAGATTCCAAAGCTACTGAAGTCTTGAATAGGTTGCCAAAAAAATGTCTCATAGAGGATAACTATTTTAATATTATAAGAGTTAGAATTAAGTTAGTAATAATTGCTATCCTAGAAAAAAATAAATGTACAAACTATTTCTTATTTAAGCTAAGATACCATCACTTGTCAGGTGCACCACATGTATCACTAAGGAAAAAACACAGGCCATCCAATTATGACACAATGCTTTCGTATCACGTAGAATGTTTATTTTATATTTACTGAAACAGAACTTTTTGAATTAAACAGACTTTTATCACAGTCTTGTGCATATGTAAGTGTTATGAAATAAACTGGTTAAGTTATACTATAACTTCATACTCTGAGTGCAACTTTTCTGGATCACTTCTTAGATCAGTCACTGAAACCTGCCTTCTCCTCACAACGGCCCCCTTGGCGTCATCAAAAGCATTTCTGGAAAGGAGGCTCTACAACTGTCTTCTGCTTAATGACAGCAGGAAGCTTTGGACAAACATGTTTGACACCTTAACGACATTGGTATTGCCTGACAGGAATCGATCGAACCAGCCTCTCGCTGCTTTGAGTTGTGTTTCATCGATTCCAAGGTTTTGGCAATTTCTCCCACCTTCACTGCAGCACTCAGCGTGTGACAGGCAATCCTTCTGCATGTGTCTCAGTGACAGAATGTCGTACAACTTTACTTGTGGGTGTCTTCCCTTCTTAGGGCCTATAAAGCATTTTGTTGTTGCTTTACAAGAAAATATGGAATTGCAGTCATTCCTCTAGCGACGGATATTTGCTTCGCTACTATCAAATGTATGCCCCACTGCTCTGCTTCCATGCTTGTCTGCATACACAACTTCATTTCAGTGCTGAATCATAGTGAAATCTTTTAGAAGACATTTTTAAGTACCAATTAAATCTGACACATTTGATAGCAATGACACAGTGATGACACTATGACAACCTGTGAACTCACACACACACACACAGGCTAGGATAATTACATCAACTATTGCCTGGTTGACAGGAATAGTGAGATGTATCCCAAGTTCAGAAAAGTTAAAATGTGGCGGGGGGAGTACATTATAGAACTAATAAAATACAGTGTTCAAGCCTGTAATGTTTAACAGATTCACAATAGTGCAAAAACAATAAGCCCAAGAGCCAAGGAATAAGTATATAAGTAAAAGCTAGTAAAGCAAAAGATTATCTTTAACATAAAATTTGTAATGGTCCAATTTGGTTTAAATTCCCTTTATGTTCATATGGCTTACATGTAAATCTTTTTTTGAATTGGACCTGAAGTCCAAGTACAAATGCTCTCCAATATTTTAGCAACTGCAAAGACCGAGGATCGCTGCCTTTCATCAGCCGCTCCCACAGGATGACGGTGGGGGTCAGTGGCCTTCCTCAGCAGGCACCCTCCTGTGGCGAGCAGATCTGATCCTGTGTGGAGATGAGGAAGTGTCCTCTTCGGTTTCAGACCCTGAAGGTTCATGATCTCCCTCCTGGGATCCTGTGTCTCCCACCAGTTCCCGCAGAAACTTGAATTTCGATAGAAAAAGATGCCACACAAAATACCAACCTAAAGAGAGACAAAAACATTAAGAATAATTATTATATGTTATTAATTGACAACATTCCAGTTAATTGTGAGGAGTATATTACAAAACATTATTATACATAAAAGTGATTACAAATACACATTTATAAAACAAGTATTTTCTAAGCATTTACTAGGGACAAGGCATATAGATAAACTCTGAATTTATAAAGGATGGCAGAAACAGTTTCTACCTTAATAGAATTTAGAATCCAAGCTTAGTCCATCTACATTAAAATTATAATGAGCTTTGATACCTAAGTAAAAATGTTTATTATATTAAAATAAAATATTTGAGAGCATTTTTCTTGGGAAGAAATAATACACTTTGCTATTCACTTGGAAATTCATACCTCAATGCTAATATTGACTAAAAGCAAATTTTCTTCAATGAGAATACAAAAGAAACAGCCCTGGCCAGTGTGGCTCAGTTGGAGTATCGTCCCGTATACCAAAAGGATTCGGGTTCAATTCCCAGGCAGGGCACGTACAGGAGGAAACCGATTGGTGTTTCTTTCTCATGACAACAAAGGACTTAGATTACAGTGATTCTCAACCTTCTGGCCCTTTAAATACAGTTCCTCATGTTGTGACCCAACCATAAAATTATTTTCATTGCTTCCTACCTGTAATGTTGCTAATGTTATGAATCGTAATGTAAATATCTGATATGCAGGATGGTCTTAGGCAACCCCTGTGAGAGTCGTTCGACTACCAAAGGGGTCGCGACCCACAGGTTGAGAACCTCTGACTTAGAGTATCACATGGTCTTAGTTGACAAAGCAGCAGGATGTTTGAGAGCACTGACTCCAATTTTGAAGTAAATTCTATTGTGGGTAAAATGCTATCAAACAGCATCACACTCTAGAGAAATCGTACATGAGAAGAAGAGTCAATTGATGTGGCAAACACCCTTGTTATCTGAGGAAATTGCCACAGCCACCCCAACCTTCAACAACCTCTGCTGTGATCAGTTAGCAGCTATCAACATCGAGGAAAGACCTTCCACCAGTAAAAGATTATGACTTGATGAAGGCTCAAATGATGATTAGCATTTCTTAGCAATGAAGTATTTTACAATTAAGGTATGTACACTGTTTTATTAGATACGAGAGGCCCAGTGCATGAAATTCATGCACGGGGGATGAAGCGGGGGTCCTCTCAGACCAGCCTGCACCCTCTCCAATCTGGGACCCCTCAGGGGATGTCCTACTGCCAGCAGTCGGACTTCCTCTCACTATCCAGGACCACTTGCTCCTAACCACTCACCTGCCTGCCTGCCTGATCACATCTAACTGCCCCCCCACTGGCCTAGTCGCCCCTCACTGCCCCCCTCTGCCAGCCTGGTCGCCCCTCACTGCCCGCCCCCGCCAGCCTGGTCGCCCCACGCAGCCTGCTGTTTGGTTGTTTGGTCGCACCTCACTGCCCCTCCCCTCCCAGCCTGGTCACCCCACACAGCCTGCTGTTCAGTTGTTTGGTCATCCCTCACTAACCCCACTGCCGACCTGGTCGCCCCACACAGCCTGCTTCTCAGTCATTTGGTCGTCCCTCATTAAGCCCCCTGCCAGCCTGGCCGCCCCACGCAGCCTGTTCGGTCATCCATTCGGTTGTTTCGGTTGCGACAGTCACTTAGGCTTTTATATATATAGTAATGCTATTGCACACATAATAGACTACAGTATACTGTAACTAACTTCCATATGCACTGGAAAACCAAAAATTTGTGTCACTCGCTTTAATACACTATTCACTTTATTGTGGTGGTCTGGAACCAAACCCACAATATCTGATGTATGCCTATAAATGGAACAAAGATGTTTTCTTTTGTGTCTGGCTTCTTTCACTCAGATCATCAAGGTTCTTCATCCATGTTATTGCTTGCATTGCTTCATTCATTTTTATTGTTGAATATTATTCCGTTGTATGGATAAATCACTTTTTAATCCATTCACCAATTAATGAACATAAGGCTAATGTCTAGTTTTTGGCTATTATAAAAAACAAAGTTTCCATCTTTTGGCTGCAATGACAATTTGTGTACAAGTTTTCACATGGACATATTTTCATTTCTTTTAGGTATATATCTATGAGAACTGCTGGGTCATATGGTAACTTTATGCTTAACCATTTGTGAAACTGTTTTTCAAAGCAGCTGCATCATTTTACATTCCCACCAGCAAAATGTAAAATTCCAATTTCTCTACATCCTCACCAAGACTTTTATTGTCCACCCTTTTTTTATCATAGCCATCCTAGTGGGTGTGAATTGTTTATCCTTGTGGCTTTTATTTGCATTTCCTTAATGACTAGGGATTTGAACATTTTTTCATGTGTTTATTGTTTATTTTCTTAGAGAAATGTCTCTTTAATTCCTTTGCCCATTTTTTTAAAATTGGGTTGTTTTTCTTTTATAATTAAGTTGTAATAGTTCTTTATACATTCTTGACACTAGAACCTTAACAAATGTATGATTTTGCAAATATTTTCTGTCATTCTGTGGGTTATCTTTTCATTGTCTTGATAATGCCCTTGGAACTACAAAAGATTTTAATTATCATAAAGCGTAATTTATCATTTCTTCTTTGATGAAATCCAATTTATCTATTTTTTTCTTTGGTTGCTTGTGCCATATGTAGGAAACCACTGACTAAACTTAGGTCATGAATACCTATGCATTCTTCTAATAGTTTCAGCTCTTACATTTAGGTCTCTGATCTATTTTAGTTAACGCTGTGTGAGAGAGAGTTCCAAATTCATTATTTTGCATGTGGATATTGCTGGGGCTGACCGGCAGACCCTGAACGATGGATGAATGATTATTCTAATATACGTTTCTGTGAAATAGAGGGCTAAGGCACTACTTGGCTATCGCCTCCAAGTAGCCCTGTTCGCCTGTCTTCTTTAGCTTTTATTGTCATAACAGCTTGAACTAAAATTAATCTTTAGATATAATTAGCAAGGTAAACATCCTTGAGAAAGTATATGCTTTTACAAGGTCGGGTCTTTAAAGACTAAACTTTGAAATCCTAGCAAAACACCACGGGGGGGATCAGACTTGTTTGGAAAAGTCAAGGTAGGGGCTGCTGCCTTCGGCAAGGTCCTCTCGAAGGCCCCCGACCTTTCGGAGAATCCTCCCCACCGACATTCCAACCAAGTCCGGTGCTTCCCCACAGACATCAAGTTGTTCCCAAACAATTTGCTGAAAACACTGTTCTTCCTCCCAACCCCATTAAATTCTCTTAGAAACTCTGTCAAAAATTAAATGACCATAAATGTTATAGTTTATTTCTGGACTCTCAATTCTACTCCATTGATCTGTATGTCTATCCTTATTGCCAGTACCACACCATCTTGTGGTACAATACAGTAGCTTTGTGTTAAGTTTTGAAATCAAGTATAAGCCCACTAACTTTGTCTTTTACTCTACTATTTTGACTAATCTGAGTCCCTTGCATTTCAATGTGAATTTTAGAATTATGTTGTCAATTTCTGCAAAAAAAAAAAAAAAAAAAAGCAGCAAGAATTCTGAAGGGAACTGCACTGAATCTGTAGATCAATGTGGGGATCTATACTTTTTTAAAAATACTTCTCTGTACTTACCAAATTTTTCCACAATGGACACATGTGGTTTTGATAATCAGGAAAATCAGGAGAAAAGTCAGAAATTGATAACTAAATAATAAATACTCTGTAGACTTATGTTTTAAATAGCCCAATGCCATTAAGTGGCTTAAATTAATAAAGCCAATTAATGTCAACATATACTAAGGAAAACCCTTATTAACTCTTAGCTTAGTTTTGAGAACCCAATCTAAAAGTTAAAAGAACTCATTTGCCCAAGGTGTTGTGCTACACAGAGATCATGAAAGTGAATTTACCACGAAGGAAATTATAGTCAAGCTCAAAGATGAGAGTCTTAACCTCATAAAGATGAAAGATTGCAAAAGTGGCTACAAGGCATAAAATGACCACAAAGAAAAGTAAGGGAGGTTACCAAAGGTCTTTTGACTAAAAAGAAACTATGGTGAAGGGCTGTCACCACTGGAGTTCCCACCATAAAATAGCGTAGTGCCCTTGGGATGATTATGAGAAAGCAAAGTCTCCCAGCATGGAAATCTATAAAAACAAGGAACTGATGATAGCTGTAGGAGTCAGTTTAGGGAGATATAAGAGCACTCAATTAGATCACAAACTCTCTTTCCCAATTTTAATAAAACAACAAACCCCCCAATTTTTTTAATCACTGTAACAACCAAACAATATAAGGGATTCAATCGTAAGTCAAAATTGAGAACATGATGGCCAATGAAACTCCAGTGTGGAGCAGCACGTTAAGACCACTACCTCCACACTAACCACTGCCCTCCACACCAGCTACACCACTCGACTCCACGTCTCTTTCATTTTTACCCCCAAATATGGGGCTAAGCAACCCTGAAAAGTATGCTTATTTTCCCCTATTCTCCCTGGGTATAAGGTGTGCAAGGGTAGGGTGGAGGGGGAGCATGTGGATAGTGACACTGTTTCCCACAAAAAAAGAAAAATCATGATAGAGAATTCCCCTAATATACATATGGAGTTCATCTGCGGGGCAGCCACAAAGAACAAATACCCACTGTTCCTGGTTTTTACAATGGCTACTCTAATGATAGGCTGGGAAGGCAACGTTAAGGGATAAATTGTAGTGTTGATAGAACTGCTGTAGTGTTCACTACATTAAGGGAAGTTCAACAAGTTGTCCTCTAAGTAAAATGACTAAGTTCTTACATAGCTGTAATTTGGGGGAGAGAGGTGGGAGGAAGATGTGGGAGAGGGGGATTTCCATATCACAGTATCTATAATTAGTAAAATCTAATGCTTCTACAACAGATTCTTTATCAGTGTTAAGAGTCTGAACTAGGGACAATACTAAAAATGCCAGGCAGCCCTAGCCGGTTTGGCTCAGTGGATGGCGTGTCGGCCTGCAAACTGAAGGGTCCCGG